CTCCGCGAACCATCCAGCGAAGGCCTATTCGTCATTGTCCTGCCACCTTATCGTTCACGACGGTGTGACCCTTTCGGTCGCACGTTATCTGTTGTCATTTGTTAGGGGACATAGTAGATTGTCAGCTTCGGTTTTATTGGCCAGTCGAGTAAAAATATACCGCGCTCAATCAGAGGAGAGCAGCGCAGTGAGCTTTGTCGCGCGTATAGCTACCAGAGTATCTCGTTTCAAACTGTATGTCTGTGTCTATAGAAAAGATATGAAATGGCTTGGAACTTGTAAATAAGACTATAAGGTGTCGCACATTAAATGTTGCATTTATATGAGCGTTTGTTTGCGTTATCTTATACGTTTTCATGATTACAATAACTTCTATAAGGATGATTATTAATTTGGATATATCAGCTAATCAACTATTGCGATAATAAGAATTTTTCTTTATGTAATGTTACATTAAAAAATTAATTTACGCGAATGTTTATGTGCGAGTACGCGTAAATATCTGGGAGAAATTTGCTCAAAGGATGATGTAAAAACTAGTTTTCTCTGGTCTTGAAATCATTTTTACTATTTTTAAAAAAAGAAATTTTTAGTACGGTAGCATAGAATCAAAGCACGAGGAAGAAATCGCTTTGAAAAGATATTGAAAATAATCCGTGAGATAACAACGAAATTTTGATGCATCAATGACAATACCGCAAAGCCTGATTTTTTTGCGAATTTTTCAAACAAAGCTGATCCAATGTTTTTGTATTTTTCCAACATTCATATTTATTCTGTGTATATTTCCCCACATGAGATATTTATATTGTTTCTCGTGCAATCATACAGTGATTAATTTTTAATCTATTGAAAGATCAAACTTTGATCAATACATTTTTTTTATATGTAACCCAACATCATTTGCGAATAAAAAATATGCGGCTCCTAATTGTGTGTTGTTTAATAATTAAATACCATCTGTCACGATGTATTGCGATCCAGTTTTTGAAAAATTTATATTTTGTTACAACCAAATCGAATGACAATCCGAGGATTAAATTCTGCGTTAGAAATTCAGTACTAGAATAATCTCTTTGTAATATAAAAGTAATACAACATCTGGGTCGTTTAAAGATGGTATCAAGAATAATAAATCAAATAACCGTATCTCATCTCACTCGATGCAACAGCTCAGACCAACCAAATCGAAGGAACTAGTGGGAGGGGAATACCGACGTATGAAACAGTAAAATTTAATTATCAGTTAGCAATAACATGCGCCTGCTGAGTTACTCATTCTCAGCCGGCGGTCGCGTACACGCACCTACATAATTCTAACCATGTCAATTCGATTGTTGTTCCATATAAAGGCACCGCCCTCGTTAAAACTTACCTCAGTCTTCGTGATGCGCTGCAAGCGCAGTGATTTTAAAATCTAACGAAATATTGTGTAATGTGAAACGTTTTACACGTACAAACAACAATCGAATATTTTATAAAATTCCATTTGGCCTGATTCGGCCATAATTTTTTACAAAATGATAGTGAACAATGTAATAACTATTATTTTTGTCGTTATAACTGGAACAGTATTCGTGCGATGTGCATTTGCGGCAGTAAGTTTATTATGTCGACATAGATTTTTAACATTTTTTTTTAACAAAAATATTATAATACTAGAAACTATATAGATTATTTTTTAGATACGAATATATTATCATTTCGATAATCTGTATAAATAACTAAAGCAAAGAAAATTGTTAAAATTTGTTAAATTTTAAAAACGAATTATGTATTATATTTTATTAGGTAAAATAGTAATAATTAGACTTCTTTCATTTTCAGGGCAAACACCGTACAAAATTAAAAATAGAAGTAAGTGAGAATATCTCAAAATTATATAATAATCTTAAATCTCTTTCAAAATTATATAATAATCTTAAAATGGGATAATAACAAAATTGTATACATGAGTTTTATTTGTTATAATATAAGCATCTGTTTCTGTTATATATATCGTAATTTAGTATAACGATAAAAGATGTTTTTGATTGAAGGCAATTGGGCACAAACCAAGTAATGATGTTCTACTACGTTCTCTTTCGGACTTCGGCGTCGTACGAAGATCTTTGAATCCGATGACGTTCGGACAATATAGCTATGGCTATGAATATCAACTAACAAGTGATCAAAATGTTTCAAATGGCAAAACTAAAAAGAACGCAGTAATAGAGAATTTAAAACTATCAGTGACATTCCGTGATAACATACTTTATATCTTCTCGTACTTGCTTTACGGCCGTGAAAACAATTTGACAGAAGAACAACATACATCCTTGGAAACGCTTTATGAATTCCTCAAGAAGAAAATGGTTTATATGTACAATTTATTAACTATTTTACCTAAATTGGACATCACAGATAAGAATCAACAGACAAGTATCGTATTGTCATCGCTGATAAAAAATCTACCATCTTATATTCAATGTACGGCTAAATACTTAGCCAATGAGATAGAATGGAACAGAATTGATTTAAATACTTTACTAAAACCAACAGAATCTGAGACGTTTGATTATCTTGCCGATATTAATTTAAACACGCTCTCAACAAGTAGAATTAGAAACGAAGAAATGATAGGATACGATGAAAATTCAAATATCACCCAGAAAGCTCTTGGTCCAGTGTTTGTAAAGCTTATTTATAATTTACAAACAAAAAAGTTACCTTTGTCGCAAGAACTATTCGGTTTGATACTGATAAACTTACCAAACCTTAGCGAGGATCCCGTACTGGAAGAAAACGTCAGATATCTGTATGATCTAACAAGAAATAATATCATCGATAGTAATGATTGGGATTCAATTGGGGAAAATCCTGTTGGCAATGACGCTTATACACTTGTTTTTTCTGTCTTAACCAAAATTCTTAATTCAAACTTACAAATGGGCGTAAAGGAGTCTACGTCTTACATATATCATCACATGAAGATCGTAACGGTTCCAACTTACCTTGATTCAAACTTAAAATATATGCATCATTTGCTGGAAAAAGATATAGATATAGGAATGCTTCTCTCTGCGGTTATTCCTCAGGAGTTTGATGAAGATACGATTCGTATGAAAGATCGTTTACTAACGTACTTCGTACGTAATTACAGAAACGAGGATATGACTAAAATTCTTAAGAGATTCAATAAATTTGCCTACAACAATCTATCAGATCTTCTATTGGCATTCCTAACAAGACTTACAATTCGCGTTCCAAGGTCTCCAAATACTAATTCAGTACAACAGCCGGCTTCAGCTTTGCTATCAGCTGTATTTATGAAAAAGTATTCTAGAATTTTCACACCGTTTGTGTCACCCGAAATTGATGTATTGGTACTTTTAGAATCTGTGCAGGTCTCTGATGTGGATCAAGTACTTCAGTCAACAGTAGATTCCATAAAAGCTGAGTTAATTTCACAGCCAAAACTAGCTGTGCTTTTGAGTACCTTAATACCAACGGAAAAAGAGATGTGTGAGGTACCAAAACAGTGTTTGGTGAATACATTCCAGCAAGTACCAAAATTACAAAATAATATATCCTTGGCTTTAACAAAAAAAATTCAACACGTAGCGTATATTCTGAAAACAACTCCACAGCCTCAGCAACTAAAAGAAAGCCACACCACACAATATTCCATAAAACCAGTAGATGTAAATCTCTATTTAGATCGGGACCAAGACCGGGAGAATCCAATAGGAGTGGCAATAAAGACAGATAGTATGTATACAAATAATGTGCCTTCAGGTGGCATCAACGGAGTTTCGTACGTATGGAACATAGATAAATATGTTGATAAAACTGGTCCCGCTGTACAAAATGAATTGCAAGTTGGAACTGTAGAATGGGAAACGGGAATTGCTACAGAAATCGACTCTACAAAACCAAAAATGGTATCGCCAACAATAGATCAAGCGCATATCACAGAGACAAAAGTCACCAAACCAAAAGTCACTCAGCCAAAAATTACCCAGCCAAAAGTCACCCAGCCAAAAATTACCCAGCCAAAAGTCACCCAGCCAAAATTCACCCAAACACACATCATTGAATCCGATGTACCTACTCAAGAACGTACATCGAATCGACCATTAACTTCGAAACCTTCGTTAACGACATTAATATCTGATGTTCCTTCTTTGGGAACTTATTATCCAACGAAACCACGAAAAATGCAGCCGCGATACACAACACCTATACCGACAGAGCATGTTGCTGACGATAGTAATTCCAAAGTAGAGGAATATATATATATTCCATCCTCAAAAGTAGGTTACGATGAAAAAGAATTACCGAGTACAAGTAAGGAAAGTGAAGATCAAACTTTTTCATCGGAAGAAGTAACTAAAGAAGTCACAACGAAGAAATCTACTAAAACAACGGTAACTCAACATACTAAATCACAATTATTAGACAGCATTGAAAAAAAAGTGCATTCCGAGAATGTCGTATCAAGCGCGATAGTATTACCTCCGTCTATAGAAACTGATCAGCCTCTTAGAGTACATCTATCTAGTAATAACGTCCCAGTTATAACGACGAACGATGATTATAACACAACGGAACCTGAAGTGGTTTTACCAGATATCAAGGAACTTCTAAAGTCGCCAGATATAAATAAGCTCATGCAAAATAGTGATTTACCAATAGTAACTCAAGTGTTACAACCATTGTCTATTATATTTGGTAAAAATTATGTTAAGAAAATCCTGAAGAATGTGGATATAAAACTTTATCCCACAAATATTGCATTATTGTCATCAATACTTAAAGAAGCCATAACTTATCCGGAAGTAACACAGAATTCGCAATTGACGAGCATAATTAATCAATACATTGTCACTATAGAATATGTGAGTCCAACGACATTATTACCCGTCGTAGTTTCGTCACAGAAGTTGGTATCAGGTGTCATATATTCTACGTTTAACCCGAATGACTTAACCAAAGGTAAAATTAGCGAAAATCCACCTGATAAACCATTACGCGACAGTATCACTGTACCTCTCGTCAATCCTAAGATATTGTTGGAATCTGTAAATCCATCTAATCCTTACGATGATCTGCTGCCTACTTTGGAAAAAGGACATATACTTGCGAAAATATTACAGCCTATCGAAATGATTTTCATATCTGAAAAAATTACGGAAATACTTGGACCAGATTTTCAACCATTGGTGTATCCAAATAAACTTACACTTCTGATAACGCTCTTGCACAAGCTACAGAAAAGTAAAATAATTCAAGCAAATGTAAAACTGAAATCCGCAATTGATTATTATTTACAAGCTTTCGAGCTACCATCGATGAGCATTCAAGTATCTGAAGATAGTTTCGTGAAGATGAAGTCTGAAACTACAGGTCAGTGGTTACCTGAACTGACGAGTTTGATTTCCGCTCTTCCAACAACTGAGATCGATACTGAAACGACGATGATAGAGGATATAGAGCAATATCTCGACGATCCAACTCTTTTGGAAAAATTAAATATAGCTAAACCACCAGTAATCATGTCTCGCGGAGAACTATTGCATAAAATTATTCGCATTTCATTATCCGGTACAATAAGTATCGATAAAAGTGTTCTGAAAGCATTAAGATATTACAAGGACAAAGTAGAATTCACCGATATGGGTGCTCTGCCCATCGTGTGGATGTGGGTCGAAACGTACGTATTTAAGGCTGAAGTACAACTAGGAGACATGATCCAGGAGACGGTGAACTTCGATCAATTGTCATATAAAGAGAAATTATCGTATAATGATATAATAACATACCTAGCTCAAAATCCTAATCTTCTTCAAGACAACGAGGACTTCGATTTTGAGAAATATAAGACACAAGGGCAGTTTGTTAAAGGTTTATTCAAATATTTGCTGACAAAATCAGAGGTCAATATTAAGATTAAAAAGGACATTAAAATAATACTTCCACACGTGACGGAGACTGGAGCAGGCGCAGTCGCAATGCCAAATTTATCTGGATTTTAAAAGATCGGATATATTAATTAAAACCTAATTCACTAATTGAAGGGCTCTAATTAAAGCAATTTGATCTGAGTTTAAAAGAAACAGAAAATAAATACAGATACGTCTCACAAAACGAGTGTGTGTTTTATAATAAAGAACTCGAAGTGTATTCTTTATAAACAATTTACTACATTAAATATTGGCTAATAGTCTTTAATATTGCATATTGTGCATGCAAAATCAATTATATAATTTAAGATTGTGAAAAATGACACATGTAACTGTCTGTTTGGTGTAATTTGTAAAAGAAAGAAAAACAGAAATAGAAAGAAATTCTGAGAACTTTATATCTATTTGTTAAGTTAAATAAAAAGGCTTATAGTAATTTTGTATTAAATTATCATCACAATTAGATCTCCTTTATTGATAAAATTGACAAAGAGTTCTCCACAAGTTTCAGATCGATAGTCTTCCAATAAGTGACAATCATTCGTAAATTCTCGTTACATGGCAACCTAGAACATTCGAAAGTTTATGCACTTTAGGAAGACATTCAAAGTATTTCCCCAAGTCGAATCTCTACCTCCTTTCAATCCTTACAATTACAGATATAAATACACGTATATAGGAAATTAATTCTTTTCTAATTTCTTATTTACAGTTCTAATTTATGAATACAACAACTTATATTATATAACTATAATTTTATTTAATTAATGTTGAAGTACACGAATGTACATAATGAATAGATAATCCGAATAATGCTTAATGCAATTCCAATCAATAGTGTTCTAAGAACCTAAATCAATATTGTGTCTGTCGAGATTATTTGTGGCCAACACTTTAATATAGCGTAGATACTTGCAACAAGTAAAGTTCGCAGCAGTCGACAGTATGCGGCGTCGCTACGTCTTCATAATGTATTCTAAGTAGCCATAACAGTTCGGCAAGTAAAATGAGTTGCGTAAGAGAAAGCGATTGGCGAAACTTCAACTCTATTCGCATTTGTTCGTTAATTGCTTTATCCGAGAACTTCGAACTGCCGTCTAGAAGCATACTGTAATAACGTAAGCGTCTTAAAGCATTGCGGTATGCTAAAAAATGAAATCTTTCATTTATATAAATAATTATAGAAGTTGTAGAATTAACTGATACCGCGCATATTTTATTGAACATCTGATTTCTTTTTCTGCTGCCTTCAATCTTTAATTCGCAGTTTCAGAGTATTACGAACGTTATTATTTTTACAGTCTAATGAAATCTCTGCACACCGCATTATGCATTCAAAAATGGACGAAATAAAAGCGCACACAATTTTTAAAAAATAAATAGATACGCGGGTCGATGTAACGAGGTGGCTTCGTCGCAATAAAAATGGAACAGACACGTGACACGCGAAGCGGAACGAAACGAGAAACGGAAGCGACGGAGGGATTATTTATTTTGCACGGCGACCGCAATCCGCGGGGATATTTTCCGCGAGACGCCCGGCCAAACTGTCTGGAAAACGAGGAAAAATTACATCGGTGAAAAATAATAAAGTGCGATCTAGCTCCAGTCGTAGGCTGTAAGCGGTATGTATGTACCTGTTCCAAGAGACAGCGATGGTGATAGAAACAATTGATGATTGAAAATAGTGCCGATGCCGCGATAAAGATGATAAGAAGAAGATTAGTTGATATCATTCATAGATGATGATTTAAATACCTATGTATACATAAATAATAAAAGAAGTTGTAAAATTAATTAATAGATATGATAAACAGCGCGCGTTATAGAATATCCGATTTCTTTTTTACATTTATATAAATCGTTTCAATAACTATATATTTATGTATCTTGACTTTTTACATTTTATGTACATTACAAATTAATAGGGAAGTACGAACGTTCTACATAATGAGTATCATTGAAACTTATTGCTTTTCATCACGTGGTACTTCAGTCACGTCAGAACTTTCGTCGGCGAAGACAACTTAAATTGAAGCGAATATCTCGGATATTGTTGTTCTTATCGCGCAAAAAGAACAGTAATTCCAAACTCGCAATTGAACTAGCTCGCCCGCGTCTACGTCAACGTCACGAATCCGAAAACTCTAACCGTCGTAAACATCCTAAAACGGAGATATTTCGTCGAGCAATCCTGTTCACGCCAACTTATCGCGTAACACCGTTTCACCTGTTTAATTTAGCGCCCGAAATAATTTACATACGGCAGGACGAGGGATGGGCTACGCTCGCGCAATAACATCTCGAAGATGAGCCGTGTGCTGCGCCAAGCAGATGCATCGTACGTGCAGACGTGTATTCCGGGGAGGGTTGCACACCCATCCTCTGACGGTACGTCTCCGTGCCCGACGACGTTCCTACTAGAGGGTTCCTGGGATCCGACATAACCCCCGAGGTCGTAACGGTAAGTCTCTCGGCGTGAGGACCCGAAATTAATAACGCGACCCGGCGCAAATACGGCGCACATAATTAAAGCGATATTACGATCTGGAGCAGCCGCAGTATCGTCTACCGGCGCTGCCTGCGTCGAAGATGTTATTTAGCCGCTCTCCGAATTTGGGTGTTGAAAGCACAGGTATTACGTTCTGATTCGCAACTTGCCCGCGGCTCATCAAGAACCTGATTAGGTGGTATGTATGAGACAACAGAAACCAGTGGATACTTGGATGTAAATAATAAATCAGTGGACGCGCGCGGTTTACGCAAAAAAAGAGAATTAAGTTGGAATAAGATATGGTTAAAAAATATCATTAAGATATCGGCGAAATAATTTATTAATTTGTTAAAGGAAATGAGACATGTTTTAATCGAGTTTCTCTGATAACAAAATGCAGCCATTTTCATAAAGGGGAGCTACAGGAAGTATCTCGAGACATATAGGACGTGCGTGACAGTAATCGCAAAGACGACAGACTTGGTAAGAGTCTGCTAGAGTAAAGTAGGTCAGGATACGAACGGTACGTTTAGGGTGAACGAGACAAGAAGAAAAAAATAACTAAAAGAAACAAGAAAAATGTTAAGGGATAGAAGTATTAAGATAGAAAGAGAAAGGAAGCAATGGCTCTCAAGTTTTATCTTTCGGAACCTTTTTTTTACTAGCAGGAAGATTTCAAAGTTTTACGAAATGCAGGTGAAAGTTCATATATCTTTTTGAGAGTCGTTTAAAAAGCAAACGAGATACACATTCAAACTAAAATTACGGAAAAATTTCAACGTCATTTAATCTTTTCTTGTGTTTTTAATAAAACGCGAGAACACCTCATAAAAGATATCTAAATAATTTAAGGTAATCAACCGTGATGTATTATCTTCTTCGCGGATTATATGTATTTCTTATTTAAAGACGCTGTCGCTCGCCATTGAGAGTCGCTGCGTTAAGAGACAAGGTGCAACCCTGATGTATGGGATACTCCTCCGCGGGTGTTTCTACACGGCAACACCGTCAGGGAAATGTTACCCTATAAAATATATCTCGAGCGTTGGCTTATGCCGCGCGAAACCCAGCAAGATGTTTCTATTTCATAGAAACGCTCGTCTTCCGGCTTAGCAGGGCATGTGAAGGGTAGCATGACGAAAGGCCAGGACGTTGATAGGGCTAGACTGTAAATCACACGAGAGCTATTCGATGTCTAGCTACGTCCCGCAATTCCGTCCAACGAGTTTGCTAGTACTACTCAACGTTATCACACAGATTTTGTCGAGGGCAGAACGGGCTGTTTTAGGCGACAGAGGCTTTAAGCGAGAGGCCCTTCATACGTAATGTATCTTCTTTTTCTTTTTCTGCTGCAATTGATATGTTTGAAGTAGCTTTAAAAACAGTAGATGTGTCACGTAGGTACAAGTTTGGGAGAAATATTCTGGGATTATTACTGAATAAAAAAAATTTTAATATAATATAGTAAAAGTAAAATAATACACGTATAAGTATAAAAATATGAAATATATTTAAATCAATTTAAAATTCCATTTAACTGTGTACCATAATGCTATATCAATAGTTTCGTGAAATCACTGCAAGAAGAGGCAAGTTATATCTATAGAAGCATAAGCCGACTCGTTGCACAGGGACAACGAGGTAAGGGAATAAGGACGCGATAGAGACGGATCATAAATCACGCACCAACCATTCAATGTGGCGTGCCTATATTGTGTGCTACCTCCGGGAGATATCGTTATCATATAGTGACTCTCATAGCAAGAGAGAGTTGCAGTGTTTTATGAATAAATACACCGAAATAAACAACCGATTTTTATGTAATTAAATTATTTTTATATTTATCGTGTCAAGGAAATGGCGACGTGTATAATTCCATTTATTCAATTTTTTTTATTATCCGCGCAAAGATATACAACCGCGTAACAAAGTTATGAGTAAATATGACACGAATAACAAACACCGTTCGATATGAGTGTAGTAAACTTTGACATATTGAACTCTCTCTCGGGACAATCATGTGCAACCGTAAAATCCTAAACAACGTTGTTATTTGTCCCTTCCCTTCATCATAAGAAGCTTATTTCTTCACTGGTCCATCATCCTTTCACGATAACATTTCCTCTTAGCTTTAGCGCCTCGCAGTATGAAGCGACGTAGAACGCCAGCGAGGATCCCGTAAAGTGCACGAAAATTCCACGGAATCCTGGAAAAATTTATGGTCCGGATGTTTACCAACATGGAATTCTCTCAGGTACTCCCGGACAGTATGGGATAGTATAGAACCACCTCCTTTTGCCCTCGCTACTCAGGGGGTGGCTATTAGTAGTAATTACTGAAGCAATAAGTCTCTACCTAATACTTCTCTCCACCGACCTTTCATCTTTGCTCCTAGAGATGCTATTGTCGCTCCACTTTTGTCGCTTTTCCAGAGTGTATAAACTATCCTTCTTTATCTCCGTGTAAACTTTCTCTTATCCTCACTTCGAATTATTCGACATCAAATATGTATAAAGTAAAGATAACTTTTACATATTTTAGATAATAATTCTCGGAAGAATTGCATGAATGCAACATAAATTATTAATTCTAAAAGTACAACATGACTGAATAAGTAACGTGAAAAGCTTCAACGCGTAAAATATTTCAAAATTTTGCTCAGAAAATACTATATTGTAAGTATAATATATACACACATATACATATAAAGAAGATATTCCTAATAAGAGTTAGTTAAATTTATCGCGTTACTTTTTAGGATATATATGTAAAGTACATTTAAAATAAAGAAATATTAATCTTATAAAATCTTTTAAGATTAATTTAAAAATCTATCATAAAAATAAATATAAAGGTATGTAAATATATGTAAATGTGATAAAACACGTGGTAATTGA